ATGTTACTTTTACGAGTTCAGGGAACTCCTTTAACAACAATTTATATGGGTCATTGCGACTTTTATCTATCACAAGGTTCATTGAAACGGCTTCCGTAAATATTCCTGTTATCGAAGTGGTTTGACTGCTGTTTATAAGTCTATGTCGTCGAGAGTCTACTAGCAGGTCAAAGTTACATAGGAAATCTATATCTATTATGGGTATTGATACGTCTGCTATAACAAAGTTCCAGCGGTATAAAGCGCCACGTCCAAAATCTAGGGACAATTTCCGTTTGCCATGTCTTAATATCTGATTTGTTTGCTGCTCTTAGCACTAATGAGGGATGAACGTTTTTTCTTTCCTCGCTAACTGGGGGTACTACGCTAATTTCCGCTCCAGTGTCAACTAAGAATTGCGCGCCAGTGGTTCGGTCTTGTATATAAAAGAGGCGACTATTTTCAGGCATTATATGCGTTGATGCCGTTGCCACTGATACTCGTGGGTATCGGTTACCAGCTCTGTTAAATCTACAAGGTTGCAGGCACCTGCTAGCCCTGTAGCCGAACATTTGATGATACCAACATATCGCGGGAGTTGTACGTCGTCTAGAAGTTGACCGGCACCTGTCACGAGAGTGATCTCGCGATGACCTTCTTGGCTTTTCTCTCTGCGTTAACTCTGAGAGCTTGCGGCATACAACATTTATTTCCTTCTGTAGAGTATCAAGTCCGTCGTCTACCGTCACGTTGTGTATTGGAGGGCTTGCTTGCTTGCTTCTTTCGTATATTCTATCAGCTATCTTAGCAATGTCGTCTATATCGACATCACTGTCCTTAACTGCAAGGATCTGTTGCACACTCGCTGGAAGTCGTCGTAACCACAACTGATAAAATATGTTTTTACCTACTTTTCTGTCTCTGATTACGCTTCTCATGTAGTTTTTTTAACTGCGATGGAATCCTATCTCCTATCTGCACTTGACTGAGAAGCTGTTCGATGGCTTGCCGGTCGCTTAATGAGACGGCTTCAATCATTGCCTGTTTTAATGCGTCGTATGGCTTTTCTATGTCTGGCTTAATTAAAACCTCTCGTACATTGTCTGCTACTTCATCTGGAAGTAGCGAGCTCGCGTGGCCAAATTTATCTCGCTGTGTATGAACACGATTAGCCACAAAGTAATGTTCAAGCCTGATAAACCAAAGTTGAGGATCTGTGACTTTAAAAGGGGAAATACTTACGTTAATGGACCTCACGGACGGCGTTTGGGAAAGCTCTATTGTATCGTTACTTAAAGACATATTTATAAAGATCAAAAAGTGAACGAATATAATGCGAATGTCACAGAGGAAAGTGAGTCGATAAAAACAATGATAAAAACAAATGGTACAATTAATAACAAAGAACGGACTTACTAAATTGCACCAAAATATCAATTGTTTGTAAAATATCGTTGTTTACTATGAATATTATCGTTATGTTCTATGATGTTTATGAGATAATGTACGTATAATTAAAATAATGAGATGATAAATCCACAGTTATAATTATAATCCAAATGATAGTTACAATTGTAATCGAGTACGTTGGATTTTAGGAATTGGATTATGTCGTCGAAGATTGTTTCGTGTTCGCGCGTCGGGATCGCCAATTATGTGGTGGTCTGTATTCGATATAATCCTTAAACTTCGTATACAGTTCGTCTTGATAACCGTTCTATATAACGTACCAACGGTATATTAATCAGAAGGCAAATACGAAGTGTTGATTACGTTTATTGCGAGACCACACACATATATCCAAATGTACAGATGCGTTAAACGAGCATAGAAGAGTTGTGTCGAAAGGCAAGCAAGCGAGCGAGAGCCAGAGCAAGAGTGAGACGAGAGCGTGTGAGTGAGTGAGTGTTGAATTTGAATAACATGGACATATATATACCATGTGAAATGAATGAGTAATCGAATCAAATAAGCAGTTAGTAGTAAGACTAGCAGAGTGAATAAATGCGTAGGTCGTAAGCAATATTCAAGCATATGTATTTCATACAAGCACAAAATAATAAAGGTACAATAAATTGTTATAGTGCGGATAACTTTGTCCGCTAAATGATTTAGCAAAAGGGCTTAACTGAGTTAAATGAGAATAAACTCAATTGCACGTGAGTCGCTTTACGTCTTTCCAAAGTTAATTGTTTTAGACTGGTTATCGGATACCATCCGCGTTTCGTCGTGACCAATAACTATTGAAGGTTTGAACTTAGTTGTGCGCACTGTGTCGTTCGACTGTCTAGTGGGAAAGCCAATACAGATGCAGTCGAATTCTATGTAAGGGGATCTTAGCCGACGGATGTTGATGTCACCTTTTATTTCGTTCTGATCAGTAATACGATACTAAGGTTCGCGGTTAACAATTTTATACTGTATTTCGTACGCAGCTTTGAGTTTCTGGAGTAATGAATCGTGACGTACGAAAATGTATGTACCAAGTCGCTAGAAGGGTTGACCCTATGGTATTGTAGCGGGTTCATAACTTTGATTGGCACTGATACTTTCGTAACAACGAAAACCCGGCTTATTGGCCTGCACTAGCCGCCTTACTTTAATTGGTGATCGGTTTTCCATTTTCAGCCTGTAACTTGAAGACCCAATCTTGTAGACTGTTATTTGCATCGGCCGGAAGTATGTTTACTTTCGAGCCAGTAACGAATAGATGGCGAACTCTTGTCAGAACATCGGTAATGGATAAAAGACGGCTATGTTCACAGGCTATCGTTGTCATTAGTATGTGTCAGCAGGGAAATTTCGCGAAATGTTTGTCGTGATGGAAGGTTACGTTAAACGTGAGGCGGAAATTCAAGTTGGTTGCTATGGCATCCATCTGGTTCAAGTGGTTCAAATGGTTGTGGACGGAATAGAAGAAGCTTTCGCTTAACAGGATTCCGTATAAAGTAGCAGGGGATCATCAAATCCTCCAGGCAGGAACCTAGGTATGTTAACAATAAAAGAGGAAAATAAATTAGTAAATCATAGTGTGGTACTATCCTTAGTCCTTAAGAATAGATCAAGTTGCCTCTTAAAGGACTCCTGGGAAGTTGCTTGGACTAACTCGGCCGGCAGCGTATTCCATCCTTTAATAAGGACGTTGCGAAATGTTTGAACTCTAACTGTGGCTATTTTGTAATGAAATATTCTGATAGCTTATTCGAGCGGTTACGTTATGAGGGCCAAAGTTTATTGATGGGCCATTTGAACCATTTAAACTAAAAGTGTAGTAATTCGAAAAAGGTTTTCAACAATCCTAGTTCAATATGTTGGTTGTTTCTATAACCTTTTGTCAGTCTATTGCGTTTACTAGTGCTCAGAAGAAAGAAATCTCCGACAGTCTAATAGCATATTTTATTCAAGCTTTGAAATGTTGGGAAATCAGAGAGACTTTCTATCTCCTTCCACATCTTAATACTATCTGGATGTAGGATTGTTTGTGAATCTAAAGTGCATCCTGGGTATTGGAAGGATGGAGCCTGGTGATACTCCTCCTGACAGCCGGAAAAAAATTAGACGAACTCTTATGACTTGTAATCGGATATGTATCAGGTAAAATGTTCTTGACATACGTTCATTCATTCAACTTATGATGAGTTATGCACAGCTTCTAACAGACCTATAAGTCTTTAACACTACTCACTTTGCACTTAGCTATATTTCTTGAGAAACCGTCTGTTACGACTCCTAAATTCTTACAATCAATAATCTTGGATAAAGGTGTTTCGTTTGTTGTATTGTGATGTAGATTACTGTAATGAAAATTTAGGAGTACGATACTACATATCATTTACTACTAACGACGATGGATTTTTCCACTCAACTAGAGCATCCAAGTTTCCCTGTAACTCTATCTTACTTTTGCTGTTATTTATGCCCTACCAAAAATATAATGTCATCACTAAACCATAGGGTGAATGATTTAGTAAACCAGATTCGTAAAACAAATATAAATTAGAGAACGTAACCGTTAGTGGTGTAGCCGAACATAGCGAATTCCATAAACCACCTCCTAATGCGTTTGCCATAGTTATGACGATCAAGTTAGTGCAGAACTACTTGAAGGTTTCGACTTCATTGAGTACAATCGGGATAGTTAAGTTTTAGGTACAGCTATTACGGGTTGGCTTGGCGTTACTGTCATACCACTTGCTGCTCCAAGTATTTTAGGACATACGATTACAAATTTAAACAGAGCGATGCTTAAACATGTTGCTAGCAAACTTCCTGATAAATCAAAATGTGTTTACAGTTAAACACATGAAAAATTATCCACCTAAATTTTAAAGATAAAGTCGCACGTATATTTGAAACATAGTTCGAGTGCGATGAAATCATTGATTGGCAAGTGCAAGGTAAGTAAGTTAATACAACTAATGATCTTATGTAACTCTAACTAGTAAATTAACTCGATACTATATTATGCATACGAAATAGTCGTACATCAAGATCCATTGAACTGAGGAAAATTGAGTCACCAGAACCTAACATTACATCAGTTTTTAGATTTGCTTATTGCTACTACGAACTCCTCAAAGTAGGAACTCGTTATGTCAAAAACCACTGGCTAGAAATCTTAAATGATATAGTTCGCAATCTATAACAATAGCTCAGTTTATATTGGATCTTTCAAGTCTTAAAGATTGCACATCTCGTTACACAAATTCCCACAAGTATAATTACAAGCTCAAAGCATTCTCGCTATATTATCTGAGGCATTAGTGGTGAGACATCTTTCATATAACTTTTTGAACACTCATAGTCTAGGAAAGTATTCTTTTCAACAAAACAAATCAATTCACGATCACTGTAAGTTGTATGGACTTTTATCAAATGCAAAGTAAACATATGTATCTTGCTAGTTAATATGACAGATATAAGTCTATAAAAAACAGACGTACTAGATCGTTAATTTACAACTTAATTTTACCCTCTTCAATAATTAGTACGTCGAATTTTGTATGTATTTTATTCAAGACCAGTGGTTGAAAATTGGATAAGTATTAGTCAAACTGTCTGTTTCCCTTTTTTGTCCTAAGTTCTACGTAGTATTGTCATCAAATGATTTGAAATCAAATCATTGATCAAATTTGCTTGTTAATTATTCATAACCTCACACTTATTTCGTCTCATTGAAACAAAACTTTGATTTTAGTAACAAAACGTTAGAACTGACCAGTTCTTTTTGTCATTAAAAGAGAAAAATGATAAAGAGAGTGTTTAAAACCATACTTTTGTAGGTGACATTTTTGTAAAAGATAATATCAATGAAAGTAGATATGTATTGAAAATAACTTCATAAATCATGAATCAAAGTTTGTTAGAGAAATTTGTACATAACTATGAGTTAAAATTAAAAGAAGTGTATAGGTGAGTTGGTATACTTTTCGGAAAATTAATATACCTTATATTTCAGAAACTGTGATACATATCGCCTTACTGAGTATAATGCAGCAGTCAAAATCCAAGCATGGTTTCGTGGTATTCGAATACGGTGCTACTTAAAGTTGGTTAAATATATGTTACTATGTTTTATATAAGTGATGTCATAACATCATTAGTCAGTCTACATTTTATTGTATTGCTTTTATTTAAAATCGATGTTAAGGTTTCAGGAAAATAAAAACACTTGTCAACTTTTAGAATAGATGAGTTTTGTCTTGCAGGGGAACCAAAGACAAGGCTTTTGTTCTGTTTGCGTCTCGTCAGCTAGATGCAATCACATCCCAGTGTTGATGGTTACGATAAAACTCAAACCCAGTAACTTTCAATCGAAACGCCTACACTATGATGACCAATCAAGATCGATACAAACGTTTTCAACTGCTATGATACTTCTGATGTTATTGGAATCAGTTTGAATTATGCCGTTTTTAATGTTCAGGACTGGGTTATGATTAATCTTAGCGTAAGTGTGCCCTCAGTAGGTTATCTTCATATGGCTATTTTGTCACAAGTTTTCAGAATTGATAGATTATGGTTTGCAGCAGAATCCAGAAGTCACATTTCATCCTATCACAATTAGGATTGACCAAAATTCAGTTTTGAATATAAACGAAGGGACAATTCAAATACTTTCAAATAATTTGTCAACTATTATAAATTCAAAATAAGACAGTTAGAGTTGGAAAAAGACTATGATTTAGTAAGTGCATTCATTTAAAGTGATTGGTGCAGATCACTCGAAACTAATTATCTTCAAGTATCTGAAACAGACTCTTATTATTAGTACAACGGCGGCCTGCTTGAATAACTGGGCTACTTGTTCCTTCCATCTAGATATCTCGAAAAGTTATTTTCTATTCTATTAAAGCACATCATTATGTCTATTAATCGCATAACTAGTCAAGGGGTGGATATGAAAAAATTTCAGGACAAAATTTAAACATCCGTCGTCAGGATCGACCAAGAAATAAGAAAAGTTATGGCAGCGTTGCAGCTACATTTTTAAACGTGAACTAGTGCCGATATATCTTTACATGTTTTAAGTTTCCTAACGACTTTATCGACTATCCAACTTTAAGTTGCCGTCCAAAAACTTGAATCAATACAATTATGTTTATGTGTGTTTGATGTGCTTTTCTGGACTATACTTCTGCTTCTGACTTCATTTCAAGACGCCGTCTACCAAATAAGTTAGTCAGCGTCAACACAGACAGCTGGCTGACCAACTGGCTATGCTCCTACCTCCATGAAAGAGAATACTACGCTGTGTTGGAAGGAGAGCGTTCGAAATTCCTACTGTCTCAAGCAGGTGTGCCACAAGGAGCTGTTCTTTCCTCACTTACATTAATAACCGACATTTTTACTTTCATCTAGTTCTGTAGACTCTGAGTCTGTCTCAACAATTCTTGTAGAGCTCTTCGAATTTGTAATCGTTTTTTCCATTGATTTGGATACTTAGTGTTATGACTTTAAGTCCGGCTTTTTATCACATGGTTTATCCACCAATCAAAATACGAATTTTACAATCTTCGCACTGTGTCTAACCAATGACGTCCGACCGGTATCGGCAGTCTAGCGTCCTCATGGGTCCTATATCCGCCTAGCCCGTCCACTTGAGTCCAGAACACCAACACCAGCTTCCACCATGCGAATCGAATCGAATAATTTATTTCAGACATATTACTTACTTACTTACTTACTTACTTACGCCTGTTACTCCTCGTGAAGGAGCATAGGCCGCTCACCAGCATTCTCCATCCAACCCTGTCCTGGGCAATCCTTTCTAGCTCCGTCCAGTTGTAATTCATCCTTTTCATATCTGCTTCTATTATCCGACGCAATGTGTTCTTTGGCCTTCCTCTTTTTCGCTTCCCTTCAGGATTCCAAGTTAGGGCTTGCCTCGTGATGCAGTTTGACGATTTGCGTAATGTATGTCCTATCCATTTCCATCGTCTTTTCCTAATTTCTTCTTCAGCTGGAAGTTGGTTTGTTCTGTCCCACAGAAGGCTGTTGCTGATGGTATCCGGCCAATGGATGTTGAGTATCTTGCGAAGACAGCTATTTATAAATACTTGTACTTTCTTGATTGTGGTTGTTGTAGTTCTCCAAGTTTCAGCTCCATACAGTAGAACTGCCTTGACGTTGGTATTGAAGATTCTCACTTTGATATTGGTTGAAAGTTGTTTTGAGTTCCATATGTTCTTCAATTGTAGGAATGCGACCCTTGCTTTGCCGATCCTCGCCTTTACGTCTGCATCGGATCCTCCTTGTTCATCGATGATGCTTCCCAGGTATGTGAAGGACTCTACATCTTCCAGAGTTTCGCCATCAAGTGTGATTGGATTGCTGTTCTCCGCTTTGAATTTGAGGACCTTAGTTTTCCCTTTGTGTATGCTGAGGCCTACTGATGCAGAGACTGCTGCTACACTGGCTGTCTTCATCTGTTCGTGTGTACGTGATAGGAGGGCTAGGTCATCTGCGAAGTCCAAATCGTCTAATTGATTCTGAGCTGTCCATTGTATTCCGTGTTTTCCTTCAGATGTTGAGGTCTTCATAATCCAGTCGACCACCAGAAGAAAAAGGAAGGGAGAGAGTAAACAGCCTTGTCTGACTCCGGTCCTTACTTGGAATGCATCTGTCAGCTGTCCTCCATGCACTACTTTGCACTGTAGTCCGTCGTATGAGTTCCGGATAATATTGACAGTCTTCTCAGGAACTCCATAGTGTCGAAGAAGTTTCCATAATGTCCTCCTATCCACACTGTCGAATGCCTTTTCATAATCAATGAAGTTGATGTACAGTGACGAGTTCCACCCAACTGATTGTTCGACGATGATCCGTAGTGTTGCAATTTGGTCTGTGCACGACCGATCCTTACGGAATCCAGCTTGTTGATCTCGAAGTTGGGCGTCTACTGCATCCTTCATCCGGTTCAGCAACACTCTGTTGAAGACTTTCCCTGGTATTGACAGTAGTGTTATGCCTCTGTAGTTTTCACATTTGCTCAGATCTCCTTTTTTTGGAATCTTGACGAGGTGTCTTTCTTTCCAGTCCATCGGCACTTGTTCCCCCTCCCAAATCTTTTTGAATAGAAGATAAAGCATGCTTGTGGTTGTTTCGATGTCTGATTTCAGTGCTTCAGCTGTTATGTTGTCGGATCCTGCTGCTTTCCCGTTCTTGATTTGTCTGACGGCCATTCTAATTTCTTCCGTAGTTGGTGGATTGACATCTATAGGAAGATCTATGTGTGCTGCTTCGATGTCCACTGGATTCATTGGAGCCGGCCTATTCAGGAGTTCCTCGAAGTATTCTACCCATCTGTTACGCTGTTGTTGAATTTCGGTGATTGGCTTGCCTTCTTTGTCTTTGACCGGCCTCTCTGGTTTACTGTAATTCCCTGCTAGTTTCTTCGTTGTATCGTGAAGTTGTTTCATATTTCCTTCTCTAACAGCTTTTTCTGCCGTCGTTGCTAGTTCTTCCACGTATTTCTTCTTGTCGGCTCTAATGCTCCTCTTCACTTGTTTGTTCGCTTCTATGTATTCAGCTTGTGCTTGGACTTTCTCTGCTCGTGTTCGGCTGTTGTTTATTGCTGTCTTCTTGTTCTTCCTTTCTTTGATCTTGTCCAGTGTTTCTGTAGAGATCCATTCCTTATGATGGTATTTCTTTAGACCCAGAACCTCTTGACACGTTGAAGTTAATGCTTCTTTGATGCTTTTCCAGTTGTCCTCCATAGTAGTTTCTTCTTCTTTCAGTAGATCTTGTAAGGCTTGGAACCTGTTGTTGAGAGCTATCTTGAATTCATTGAGTTTGACAGTATCTCGAAGGAAGGCTGTATTGAACCTTTGTATTGCTGTTTGTCCACTTGTCCAGTTCTTTTTTAGCTTCAGTTTCAAATTGGCTACAACTAGGTGGTGATCTGAAGCTACATCAGCACCTCTCCTGGTTCTCACATCTTCCATTGTCCTTCGGAATTTTTTGTTAATGCAAATATGATCTATTTGGTTCTCTGTAGTGTGGTCTGGTGAGATCCATGTAGCCTTGTGTATACGCTTGTGTGGAAATATTGTGCCTCCTATGACCAATTTGTTGAATGCACATAGATTTACAAATCTTTCTCCATTTTCGTTTCTTTCTCCCAGTCCTTGTCGTCCCATAATATCTTCATATCCAGTGTTGTCTATTCCGACTTTGGCATTTAGATCTCTCATCAGAATAGTTAGGTCCTTTCTTGGGCATTTCTCAATGATTGACTGCAGCCGCTCGTAGAACTGATCTTTAATTTCGTCGTTGCTATCATTGGTGGGTGCATAACATTGGATAATATTCATTAAGACCCCCTCCTTCTTTGTTTTGAATGATGCTTTGATGATTCTGGATCCGTGAGATTCCCATCCTACAAGTGCATTTCGTGCTACTTTGGACAGCATAAGAGCGACTCCCTGAGTGTGTGGAGCATTGTCCTCTTCGTGACCGGAGTATAGCAGCATCTCTCTCGTAGCTAGCTTTTTCTGTCCAGCTTGGGTCCAGTGGGTTTCGCTGATTCCCAGTACTGCTAAGTTGTATCTCCTCATTTCCATTGATATTTGACTGGTCTTCCCGGTTTCCCACATTGTTCGAACGTTCCATGTACCTATAAAAATTGTTGCTGTGGTTGTTAGAAGGGGCATCGGCCTCGTGGCTTCCGAAGGAACTCGACTTTCACCATGAAGCGTCACAATTCTTCTAAATGAAGACCTTCTAACTCCCAGGGCAGAGTTAAAATGGTTTGGATTATTTTTTCTGGTAAGCGTTTTTTTAGCGAGTTAGTTTTCTACGGGATGGGGACACTAACCCCATGCCCAACCCTCCTCCTTTACCCGGGCTTGGGACCGGCAGCAACCCTATAAGAGCTACAGGCGGAGTTATTTCAGACGTATAGGGTTTATATATCAACCAAACAGGCCGCAACGCACCATAAAATAGGAAATAAAATTTGTACACAATAAAGCCAAAAAGTGGTTGTGAATGTAGGAGGCAGTAGTCAATAAACCTAACATAGCTTAAGAACAGTAAATCGTACAA